TGCTTCCGTTATTATTTTTTAAACAGTCGGTGCTTTTTTCGTATTAATGAATTTGTTGAAATTATAAGATTAATGGATATTTCTGTGGAGCTGAAAATTTAATTTGGCTGTATCTTACGGTATAAGCTTTGGCTCAGCTATCTCAATCCTGGCAGAGTCCAGTGTTTATCTAAAATCTGCTGCTTGTGCTGTGCAATTACATACATTTATTTTCTTCTGAGAGTAGATTTTCATAGTTCTCTTTGGTGTTTTTAAACTAGCATATGAAAATAATAGGGCTTATAAAATTGGACATGGTATGTATCAGTAAATGGTAAAACCAGAAAGAAATGGAATAAAGGAAAAATCCCAAAGGACCTGACATTTTTCTAATAGGCAAGCCATAATTTTTATTAAGTAACTTGCGGAGATTGTTTCAGAAATACTGTAATTGGGGAGGGAATTATACTGTAAGGATTATGCTAGGAAAATGAAAGAAAGGGAAAGTCATAGCGGAAAAAGTTACAAAGGAAATTGGTATGTCCCTTGAGGTCCAGGGAATCTGTGTAAGTCTCCAATCATGGTTGTATTTTCAGTCTTTGTTTTTTTCATAGATGATGAGCCATTCATAAAGTCATTTCATCTTTTGGAGTCATTTCTGTCCACCATTCAAGGAACTGTCTTAAATATAGTGTCCCATCTTCTCCACCCCTTCCCTCTCTACCCCTCGTTTAACCAGTTTCTGAAAACAGAATTAGGACACTAACATAGAACATGTAACATAGAACACAGGTGAGGTGTAATAAATGTATGCTACACTTTCTCTGAGAATTAAGACCATGGTATTCACAGTTCCTAAGAATACTAAGAATCATGTAGTATAAGGTTAGGAGTTTTTTATTTGATCCTGAAATTAGAAATTAGAGATTCTTAGAATTTCTTAAGAATTTAACTTAAAAATTTAGAATGTGGTTAAGGGGAGCAAAAGATTGCTAGGCAGTCAGTAAAGCTGCCTTTGGACTAACCAAAACATTTGTTTAGAATGTTGTTTATTAAAAACGAACAAAAATTTGAGCTGCTTTTAATACAAATATTTCTTATTTTCAATAGTAGTTTCAAATAAAGGGTTTAGGACCGACTTGCTCTAACCAGGCCATTGTAATGCTTGATTTTTTTCTCACGTGTTTTATGGTTAGTGTTGTATCACCTATAACTAACTGACAAAATGCCAGTCTTTGTGTTCATTGAAGAAAAAAAAATCGCTTCTGAGAACATTTTAGCAAGTACAGAGTACAAGTGTGTGAAGAAAGCATCCTTTTGTCTTAATACATTTTAAAAGGGAAGTGTGTACGTTATGTGAAAGTTTTAGAACCCTACTTACTGAGCCGGAACTTGTTTTGCAGGTTTCCATGGCCAGTCTGATTTATATGGCTTGAAAGTTTCTCATTTTTACTTTTTCTCATTTCACAAACTCTGCCAGTCCTCAAAGATCTACGGGAAACTCACTGTGCTAATAGGCAAAGTTGGCCTTTCTGTGCTCCTTTTAAAGTAGTCCATCCTGAAACACTGACCTTTTAGTTTAATAACAGTTTTATTTGAGAGAATGTTCAGATCCTGAAGCTGAAAAGAGTGTTTTCAGAAAAGCCATTTTGAATATTGGTCTCCAAATGGTATATCTTTTTCCCTTATGCACTTTGGACCAGACCTATCAGAAGAAATATGTTGTTGCTTTCTGTATTCTATTGATTGAAAAACAAATAACTTGAAACTTAGATTTGCTCAAAACCCATTACCACGCTGGTTTATTTTCCTGCCTGGGCTTTGAATTGCTATTTTAGATTTTAAACTCTTTATGCTTGGTCATGTTTTATCTTTTGTTATTTTAAATTCTCCATTATAGCTAAGGTAATTACTTTTTCAGCTGTGACCTTGGACGTGAGACCCAAAAGTTTTGTGTGTTTGTGTGTGTGTTTCTTTTCCAGAAATAGCTAGGGCATTAGAGAGACAGCTATGCTTTAGTCCCTCGACTGACCAGAAGTGATGTGAGCTAGCCGGTCCCTTGGGCATGTCTTCTTCAGTGGCTTCTGGAGCTTCCCTGACCTTTGCATCTCTTGTGCTTCCTCTTCCCATCTTTCTCCCTCCCCTCTTGGCCTCCCTAGGTGATACCACCATTATCTCCATCTATCAGTATTTACCGCCTCACCCCACGGCAGGTGGCTTGGCAGGCATGAGAGGCAGGAGTGTATATAGAGAAGGAAGACAAGCCTTGAAGCTGCGTTTCCTTCTCTGCAGTCTCTCTTGCATGGCTACCTTCCCAGCCACCCAGCTGGTCGCCATGTGGTAATGGAGTCCTTACCGTTCCCTTCCAGGTTTATCACATCATCATGAAAAGCTCACTGCTGATTTTGGCTCTTCCCCTGGTAGCAAGCCCTTATGTAAGAGGCATACAATGCACTACTAAGATATGTTGTATCAGCTCACTTAGAAAACGGATCTCACTGCTTCATGCTTAGACCTGGTGTACCAAGGTCTTACCGAAGCCTAGTTTTAATTGAGTGAAATTCAGTTGAATTGTGATTGAGAATTTGATCGAGTTTTGCATGAGAAAAATTTTGCTGCAATAATTTGAAGCAATCAGGGGAATTTGTGTGATTTTACACATGGTCTGACTGTGTGTTGATCCTAACTGGTATGTACACTTCAGAGTATAGTTTGATCAGGTAGTACTAATTGGGTGAAATATTTGTCTCAATTTTTGCTACTAATAGAGCTTGAGAAAATGTGTCACGTTGTTTTGCTTGTTTATAAGAAGGAGATGAAAATGTGAAAATCATCACCTTATAGAGTGCATAGCTGAGAACTTCATAGCCAGCTGACACCTATGTAACCTACCCGGTTTTGTTTTTGGATGAGGAAATCAAAAGTCAGATAGGTTAACTGATTTATCTAAAGTCTAGCTAATAGAAAAACAAAGACTATCCATATCCAGACTCCTTGCTGAGCTCTTACTGTCTGTAATTTCTCTAGTGGGATTTGTATTATTTTGAACGTTTAATGCTGAAAAAAAAAAGTCTTAAGATTTGCCTGAATCAGACAATTCCCTGTTCTAGTTTTAATTAATTAATTTTGTGTGACCACTAATCTACTTCCTTTGTCTACAGATTTGCCCTTTCTAGACATTTCATATCAGTGGGCACATACAATATATGACCTTTTGTGTCTGGCTTCTTTCACTTAGCACAATGTTTTCAAGATTCATCCATGTTGTAGCATATATTAGTACTTCATAACTATTTATGGCTGAATAATATCACACTGAATGGATATACTACATTTTGTTTATCCCTTCATCAGTTGATTAGCATTTAGGTTGTCTTCACTGTTGGGATATTGTGAATAATGCTGTCATAATACTCATGTACAAGTTTCTGTGTAGACATATTTTCAGTTCTCTTGGATATATACAGTACGTAACAGTGGAATTGCTGGATAATATGGTAACTTTGTTCAGCATTTTGAGAAACTGCCAAACTATTTTTATAGTGACTGCATCATTTTACGTTCCCACCAGCAATGTATGAGGGTTTCAATTTCTCCACATTCTCACCAGCACTTGTTATTGTCCTTTGGATTATAGTGGGTTTGAATTGGTAAGTCATTGTGGTTTTGGTTTGCATTTCCCTAATGATGAATGCTGTTGAGTGACTTTTCATGCAGTTATTGGCCATTTGAATATCTTCTTTGGGGAAATGCCTATTTATGTCCTTTGCCCATTTTTAATTTCGTTGTCATTTTATTGTTCTGTTCAGTTGTTCTGTTGTAAGAATTCTTTGTATATTCCGGATACAAGCCACTTGTCAGCTATATGATTTGCCAGTATTTTCTCCCATTCTGTGGGTTGTCTTTTCACCTTCTTGATAATGTCCTTTGATGTTGTTGTTTTCTGATAGTCCACAAGTAAGAGAAGACATCCTTAGGACCTTTCATGTATCTTCTTTGTTATTGCCCAGTGTCAGCTAAATTTTAAAGTTTTTGCATATCCGGTTGTAATTCATTTTTTGCATATTCCGTAAGGCAAGGTGCTTATAATGCAAGATTATCAAATAAAATGTTATTGAAGAGCAGAGAGTACTGTCTAGTTTCCATCTAGTAGGCTCAACCAGTTGAAATACTTGTTAGGTCCTGTGTGTATTCCTAGATCTTAAGTGTTTCTGGTGCTTTCTTGGTCATAATTTTGGGTAGTGGGTTTTGGTACTGAAGAGGAAAGAGTCCTTGCTTATTTCTTATGGAAGGCTCTTAAAGAGTATGTAAAATTTGTCTATTTTATTTGCTACCATAGCTGTAAGAATCCTACAAAACATATTGTACAAAATCTTCTAATTGGAAAGACCAGATGTTTCAGATCAAGTCATTAGGTATTTAGAAGCCCCAGCCGTGTTCTCAGCACTGTTCTGTCTCTCTCTCCAATTGTTGGCACTTGAATTTGAATGACGTTTTCCAAAAAATATGGTTTTAAATATGAGTCATAAATTCCCTTTTTTGTAAATCATGGAAAAATGAATGTAACTGCAAATGATTTTCTTTCTCTAATAAGTGATTTTTTAAAATGTTTAATTATCAAAGTAGGAATGTTTTGGTGTCATTTTCCTCTCTGAAGTCCCTTCCTTACACCCTCTCCTCCCCCTCTATGCAGTTGTCAGACTTTAATGGTAGGACATCATTTTAAAGAATTTGTACTTAATGGCTCAGTCCCACTGGGCAGTAAGCAGCTCCTTGAGTTTATTATAACTTCCAGCAGGTGTGGAGATTTCTAGGTCACCAGGGAACTCTTGATTAAATTACTCCTGAAGTGCACTAATTGGTCTTTTCCACCCTGCTTAGGTGGTTCCAAGGAGACACTGACCAGCTGGCAAAACTTTGCCTATTAAGATCTAGTCTCAGCTTTGTCTTCCTGAGTATTCTCATGCTTTTGTTTAAAGAAGTCACTTGTTTTATCTCCTTCCCCTCTTTATTGATTTTAGTTTCTGATGAAGAATTGAAAAGAAGAGTGGCTGAGGAGCTGGCATTGGAGGAGGCCAAGAAAGAATCTGAAAATCAGAAACGGTGAGCTTCATGGTGTTTGAGACAGATTTTGGCAGACTTGTCATATTTATGAAATATTTTTGGAGAAGAATGATTATAATAAGACTCATCATTTGTATTTGGCTGAACATGTATGAACGTGGCTGTTTTTGGTTTTGGATTGTGCTTGTTAAAGCCCTAGGTTATTCCCTTCCCAAACTCAATTGTAAATGACCATTTCTTGTGTACTTCTTAGTTGCATGAATAATTGAGCCCTGTTTTTTCAATATGTGAGAAGTAGTTCTTGAGGATTCTCCTGGCACTTCTCAGGCTAGGTTCAAAATTAATGAATATATTTATGATTGAAAATCACATCGTCTATTATGGGTATTAAGGTTAACAATATTGTAGCTAATAATGAATGTTATATGTTATAGATAGTACCCATGTTAGTAAGTAGCTCTGATTAGTAGTATGCTCACTTAAAAAAATCAAAGATGTTACAGATAAGTGTAAGGTTGAAAAAACAAAATCCTCTGTAATTTCATCCTACAGAGATAACCACTCTTGAACATTTCATTCCTCTAGATTTTTTTGTATACATCTATATTATTGTTGTCATTATTACTACTTCTCCTAACAGTAGCTGCTAAAAGAATGTTCACTGAAATGTTTTTGTAATAGAAAACTGGAAGCAATCCAGATGCCCATCATGGAGGGCTGCATGAGTGAATTATGGTACACGGAATTTTGTTACAGTGGAATATTAGACAGTCAAGTAGATCTTATGTGCTGATTCAAAAAGATGTTGAAAGGCTGTAAACTGAAAAGAAAGCAATATTCAAAACAACATAGATAATTTTTTTTTTGGTAAAAGTACTACTTTTTAAAGACTTAAAGTATATACTTACTCATAGAAATATGTGGATACATTTTAATCCAAGGTAGAGTCAAGTGCTTTCCATCTGTGCTATTTCTGAAATTGCCATATAGCACAAAGCATTATTATTATATGATTATGCAAATATCTTTCACATGCACAATGACTACTACCAGTAGATGGTTTGTAAGATTGTGTGTGTGTGTGTGTGTTGGGCTGCTTCACTAGTTTGCTTGAGAGAGCTAATGTAAGGAATCTTTGAATTGGATTCTCATCTTCACTGGCTATAGGGGCTTCAGTGTATAATTTAACCTCTTTGGGCCTTAAATATTTCATCTCTAAAGTGAGGGTTTATGAAATGTTCTCTAACATTTCTTCTCTTTGACGAAGTGCTAAATAAGCTAGGTCCGATTTGCCTGAAATGTGTAGAACAGGACATGAGTTTTACTGTACATTAAGACCACCATTTTTCTCAGGAAAGAGAGAAGGCTCATGGCTTAGGGTTTTAAAAATCAAGATGTAGTTAGTACTGCTAAAAGTGTCTATGCATATTTCAGTAGTTTCCCACGCAGCACTTCATAATTATTTAATTGGGGTTAGGTTGATGGAGTATATAATTAGATAGTGAAGTTAAAATATTCAGAAAAATTCAGACCATTTTCATTAAGAAGCAGAGAAAATCAATGTGTTATGGTAGAATTCCTTGTCTTTGAAATTTTATTACTTTTAATTGAATTTTATTTTAATAAGGAATTTTTGGTTAGACCTTCATATTTACTTTGCTTATTATATTTCACATAGGAATTTTTTGTCTTCCTTTCTTCCCCTATGGTACAAGCTTTTGTTACAGTAATTCTCACTGTGGTGGGTTTTTTTTTTTTCCCCTCCATGACTTAGCTCCCATTTGTTCTCCTGTTCTATGAAAGGTAAAGGGCAGATGAGATGGATACAAGGTGCCAGTGAGGGCTGATTTCATCTCTCATGTGGACTGGGGTTGGCAGCCTAGCTGTAACCTGGGACAAATGACTACTGATAAAGAATTTATTTTCTGTCACTTTTAAGGGGAACAGAGGGTGGTACAGCCTTTTTTTATTGTTTTCTCTTTAAAAAATATGTTTTGTTTGAAGCCTTCTTCATGCAAACTTCCAGCTGTCAAATCTTGGCAAAAAGTGTGTGTTTATCTGTATGATACTTCTTAGAAGAATCAATACCTATGTTTTTCCTTTTTTTCAACCAGAGAAGAAACTTCAGAAAAAGCATTAAAAAGGTTTTCTGTGCCATCTTTTAAAAGCAACTTTTTGGAGAAACAAAGCATTTATAGATAATTGTATCTGTTGCCTTAATTGAGTAAAGCCTTGGAAGCAGTTTTAGAAGATGGTTCCTTGTGTCCTGGACTGCCAGTGGTATATGCCTGGCTTTCCAAGTCTTCTCTTTTCACCCCAGATGTACCCATAACTGTAGTTGAGTTCCTAAGCCCTTAAGATTGGGGCATAGGCACATGAAAGTGTAAGGGATCCAACGTATGCAGAAAGGACTTTGGAAATTATTTCCATTGTGATATTTTTCTTTATAGGATAGTTATCATTTTTAACCTTTTATTATGGACACTTTAAAACACCTTCAAAAACAGAAGGGTACAGTGAATCCCCATGACACTGTTACAACAATTCTTGTTTCATCTGTACCCCATTCACTCCACCTATATGGTGAATGGTAAGGAGAAGCACCAACATTTTTAATAGGTTGGTGAATTTCATGGCAGGGAAATACTCTGAAATATCTTCCGTCAGGCTAGCTTAATAAGGACCTTGTTTCAGTTAGGTTTTTTTGGTTGAAAGACTGGAACTTAACTCTGGCCAACTTGGGAAGCAAGGAAATTTTTAGAAGAATATTAGTTGAAAGGAATCAAAAGGAAGACTAGAGAACCACTAGGTAGGGAAGAACTGGGTAGTACTTAAAACTTTACACAGTGAGGAGGAAGTAATTCTCCAGGATGACGGTTCCATGATAAAGGGGAAAGGATGGTGGGTGGCTGAATTTCATTGAATTGAAGATGCCATCGATTTCTAAGAAGCATTGTATTTGACGTACCACTAAGAAAAAAATTGCTGCAGATAATAACCCAGTAGTTTATATCTTAGAATTTTTTTATTGAAAGAGCTCATTAAGACTGACTTTGAATTTCTAAAAACCTATCACTTGTATGTTCATAACAAGGAAAATGTAAGTGAAATAAATAGGTTAAGGCATGTCAGCTAGGGGAGATTTTGGTTTCCAGGGGACACATGAAAATGTCTGGAGACGTTTTTTGGCTGTCACAACTAGTTAGGTCTTACTGGCATCTAGTGGGTAGAGGCCAGGGATACTGCTAAACATTCTGTAATGCACAGGATACCCCCCACCCCCCAAAAAAGACAAACCTTACAAAAAAACAAAGAATTATCTGGCCCAGAATGTCAGTAGTGCTGATAGTGAGAAACCCAAGGTTAAGGGACTCAAAACCTGTTCATGTTGGTTCTAATTCTTCTAAATTGTTCTGTGACTCAGGGTCTTGATATCTTTGTTTTTCCACACGGTATCATATTCTGTGCCATCAAAACCTTGATGACACAGCATTCTGCTGTTGTACCTGGGATTTTTCCAGGCTGCTGACACCAGTTTTGCAAATTTTGATGCTTATGTGCAAGCTATGCCAACTATTCAGGATCAGGCTGGCAGACTGCAAGTGTGAGGTGCTTTCAGGCATGTGGAAACGTGGGCAAATAGGGTCCTAGAACTGTATTTTGTCAGTGCAGTCTGTACATACTCTAGACCATAACCTCTGTTAGGTTGGAAATGATTTTTTTTTTTTTTAATTGGGGTATAGTTGTTTTACAACGTTGTATTAGTTTCTGCTGTACAGCAAAGTGGAGTTCCCTGTGCTGTACAGCAGGTTCTCATTAGTTATCTATTTTATACATATTAGTTAGTGTATATATGTCAATCCCAATCTTCCAATTCATCCCACCCCCACTTCCTCCTTTGGTGTCCATACGTTTGTTCTCTATGTCTGTGTCTCTGTTTCTGCCTTGCATACCGGTTCATCTGTACCATTTTTCTAGATTCCACATATATGTGTTAATATACAATATTTGTTTTTCTCCTTCCGACTTGGCTCTGTATGACAGTCTCTAGGTTCATCCATATCTCTGCAGATGACCCAATTTCGTTCCTTTTTATGATTGAGTAATATTCCGTTGTATATATGTACCACATCTTCTTTATCCATTTGTCTGTTGATGGACATTTAGGTTGCTTCCACGACCTGGCTATTGTAAGTAGTGCTGCAATGAACGTTGGGGTGCATGTGTCTTTTTGAGTTATGTTTTTCTCTGGGTATATGCCCAGTAGGATTGCTGGATCTTATGGTAATTCTATTTTTAATTTTTTAAGGAACCTCTATACTGTTTTCCATAGTGGCTCTATCAATTTACATTTCCACCAATAGTGCAGGAGGGTTTCCTTTTCTCCACATCCTCTCCAGCATTTATTGTTTGTAGATTTTTCAATGATGGCCATTCTGATCAGTGTGAGGTGATACCTCATTGTAGTTTTGATTTGCATTTCTCTAATAATTAGTGATGTTGAGCAGCTTTTCATATGCCTCTTGGCCATCTGGATGTCTTCTTTGGAGAAATGTCTATTTAGGTCTTCTGCCCATTTTTTTTCTTTTTTTTTTTTTTTTGCTGTACACGGGGCTCTCACTGTTGTGGCCTCTCCCGTTGCGGAGCACAGGCTCCGGACGCACAAGCTCAGCGACCATGGCTCATGGGCCCAGCCGCCCTGCGGCATGTGGGATCTTCCTGGACTGGGGCACGAACCCGTGCCCCTTGCATCGGCAGACGGACTCTCAACCACTGCGCCACCAGGGGAGCCCCTGCCCATGTTTTGATTGGGTTTTTTTTTTTTTGTAATATTGAGCTGCATGAGCTGTTTGTATATTTTGGAGATTAATCCTTTGTCTGTTGATTCATTTGCAAATATTTTCTCCCATTCTGAGGGTTGTCTTTTTGTCTTGTTTATGGTTTCCTTTGCTGTGCAGAAGCTTTTAATTTTCATTAGGTCCCATTTGTTTCCTTTTGTTTTTATTTCCATTACTCTAGAAGGTGGGTCAAAAAGTATC